CTTATATTTTTTTTGCTACCAAAAAAAGGCACCAGATCTTATTTTCGGGGGATGTCATCTACCGACTAACCTCACTTGTGCGCATCACTCCCGGTCTCCTTTTCGCTGTCAGAGGCCTTCAGGAACTACTACTTCTGTGGCTGGCAAGGCTTTCCTGAAGGCCTCTTCAGCCGGTAAGAGAGTTCTGGATCGATCCAGAGCTTTCTTATGAGCTACAGAGGCCTTCAGGAAAGCCTTGCCCACCTTGCCGGCTACAGAAGAAATAGGCCGGCAAGGCAGGTGTTGGGTTGTGCAAGGGCTGACTACAACTGTCCAAAGGTAAGTAGTAGGGCAGCTTCACCCCCCTTCATCCCCACCCTAGCTTAATTTTTACCCATGCACTCGAATGGGCAGGGTCTTAATTGGGGCTTATTTTGGGGGTAGGGTTTATATTGGGCACACGTGTAAAAATCAACTAGGACGTGATAGTCAACCTATGGCACATGTGCCAGAAGTAGCATGCAGAGCCATTTCTGCCAGCACATGAGAGGTCGCCCGAAAGAGCCCTACTGCGCATGCATGTGTGCCACCCGACAGCTGATTGTCAGGTATCCGGCCCACATGCGCACGCAAGGGAGGCACGGGAGACGTGCGTGCATGAGCAAGGAGCGTGGTGGGGGCATGCGCATTGCGTTCTGGGCGCTGGCACATGATCGGTCCAAAGCTCTGTTGTCGCCTGCCGAGGTCTTCAGGAAAGATTTGCCGGCCGCAGAAGTAGTCGTTCCTAAAGGCCTCCGAAAGTGAAACGGAGGCGGGGAGCAACACGCGCAAGTGAGGTTAGTCGGTGGGTGACGTCACCCGAAAATAAGACCTGGTGCCTTTTTTGGTGGCAATATATATATAAAAGACAGGGTCTTATTTTCGAGGAAACACGGTATAGCCATTGCATGCCAAAACAACCAGACATGGGGATAGTTTTTTTTCCCTCGTGCCATCACTCTACTGAACACCTGACTCTCACAACACCATCTAACGCCTACGTGTATTTACCCAAGTAGTAGGACTGTATTACTATTATCCTTCTCATCTTCCCTACTACTCCCTTTTACTGGTATCATCATGATCAAGGTGATGATGATTATTCTGTTGCTTTGCATGTACACGGATAGCTTCTGCACTGGGGACAAATTCCATGCGCGCCCAATCGCATGGGCCAATGAAGATTCTATCCTCCTATGGGCAGTCCTCAACTTACAACCACCCAACATTTCTGTTGCTAAGCGTAATGTTTGTTCGGTGAGTTTGCCCTGTTCTATGACCTTTCTTGCCCCCATCGTTAAGTGAATCACTGTAGTTCTTAAATGAGTCCAACTGTCGTTAAGTGAATCCAGCTTCCCCCCATCGACTTGGGGAATCACGTCACCCTGGGACTTGGCAACCATCATAAATATATGTCAATTGCCAAGCATTTAAATTGTGATCCCACGACCATGGAGATGCTACAACGGTTGTTAAGTGTGAAAACTGGTCATAAGCAGGGTTGGGATTCAGCCAGTTTGGGCCAGTTCAGGGGTACCAGATGTTAAATTTACATCTGGTTCGCTGAACCCGTAGTTGAACTCACCAGCTGGTCCCGCACACCCCGCTCTGCTCCTCCGCAGAATCTCCAAGTGGCCCATTTTGGACGCAAGGTGACGCAGGGTCTGAACGGAGGCTCTGGGAATGGGGGAAAAAACTCCCAGAAGTTCTTGAAGTCCAGAAACAGGCCTGTTTTGGGCTTCTGGAGGCCCTCCGGAGGCTGGGTGAAGCCGTTTCGCCCTCCCAGAGGCCCAAGGGAAGCCTCAGGACTCTGGGGAAGGCGGGAGTTCCGGTAGGCCACACCCATGCAGCAACCGAGCAGAGAACCAGTTGTTGGGATTTTTGAATCCCACCTCTGGTCCGGAGTCCCTTTTATTCAGAGTTGTTGTAACTTTGAACGGTCACTAAACCCGAACTGTTGTAAGGACTCCCTGTATTCCACTGCTATCTGGGAAGCGCTGAAGACACACTAAGGCAAGCTAAACACTCATCCATCTCACACCCAGATTAACCTGTGGTTAATCAACTGACTCCCTGACAGAAAGTCCACAACACGTTAAGATTGCCCCACCCACACCCCGGTAGATGTGTGTAAATTCCACACCTTTCAACCGGCTGCATGCTCAGAGGAGGAGCAAGTCGTGAATGGAGGCAGCTGCTCTGATATCCATAATGGAACCTGCCCATTTCCAGTTCCAAAGGCCGTCATAACTCAAGGACTACTTGTATATACAAAGAGGCAGCAAACCCCACTCCCTTCTAGCACTGATGATGTTACCTAGTGGGGTACTGAAACATCTCCAAGAAAACAACCGAGCTCAGATAGCACAAAGGGCCCCACAATTATTTTTTCCTCCTCCTCCTCCTCCTCCTCCTCCCTTTGAGCGCTGATGAGGTTACCTAGGTGGGCAATGAAACATCTGCAAGAAAACCACCAAGCTCAAATAGCACCAAGGAACCCACAGTCCCCCCCACTCCTCAACCTCTCCCTTCAAGCACTGATAAAGTTACCTAGTTGGGCAATGAAACATCTGCAAGAAAACCACCAAGCTCAGAGAGCAGCCAGGATCCCCTTATCCTCCTCTTCCTCACCCACTTCACAAACCCCACTCCTTTCTGTCACCGATGACGTTACCTGGGGAGCTAAGGAAAGGTCTCCAGGAAAACAAATCAAGCTCAGGGATCTCCAAAGTTCACGCCACAGTTTGACCCTAAGCTACAAACTTGGTTGCCACAATATAAGAAAGAAGTTGAGACTCTCCAGAGCAGGGGTCTCAAACTCAATTTACCTGGAGGCCGCTGGAGGCAGAGGCTGGGTGAGGCTGGGCCGCCCAAGGGATTCCACAAAAAACATTGTTAAAAAAAATATATCCTCAAATGTCATTTCATAGAAGCGTTTAGCCAGCTAGCGACGCATGGAGAACGTCTCAACGCGTGACCTCGTTTCCGCTTCTACTTATCACAACAGCGCGGCGGATGACGAACAGCCTGGTAGCAGTCGCCTTTCTCTGCGTTTGATCGTGGCATTTGTTGATGGTAGAAAGTACCGGAATGGCGACCGCAAAAAAAGGCGACCGCGACCGGACTGTTTGTCATCCGCCACACTGTTGTTACAAGCGTGGTGTGTGCATGAAGTCGGTGTAGCTTAGCCTAGCACCGAATGTCAGCCACGACGAGGAACGGCGGGCGGGACTTCCTTCAGAGGTCCATTCCCCCTGCGGGCTGAACTAATATTATACTTTCATATCACGGTGGGGGCCACAGGATATCGTCCTGCGGGCCGCAATTGGCCCGCGGGCCGCGAGAATGAGACCTCTGCTCTAGAGAGTGTACAGACAAGAGCAACAAAGATGATTAGGGCACCGGATTAGGGCACATACGAAGAACGGTTGCAGTTCTTCTAGTTTAATGAAAAGAAGGACTAGGGGAGACAGGATAGCAGTGTTCCAATATTTGAGGGGCTGCCACAAAGAAGAGGCGGTCAAGCTATTCTCCAAAGCACCTGAGCTACAGGGATAAGAAGCAACAGATAGGAACTACAGAGGAATGACTGAGTCTGTCATCTGCACCTCTGTAACTGTCTGGTTTGATTCTGCAACCCAACAGACACAGACACAGACTCCAGAGGATAATTAGGACTGCAGAAAAAACAATGGCTACAAACCTGCCTCCAATCGAGGACACGAGTCAAAAAGAGGGCTGTGAAAATATTTACAGACCCCTCACATCCTGGACATAAACTGTTTCAACTCCTACCCTCAAAACGACGCTATAGAGCACTGTACACCAGAACAACTAGACACATGGGGAGTTTTTCCCCAAACACCATCCCTCTGCTAAACAAATAATCCCCTCAACACTGTTCAACTATTTACAAAGTCTGCATTACTATTACTGTTAATCTTCTCATCACTCCTTATCACTCATCCCCTCCCACCTGTGACTGTAGGACTCTAACTCTGTTGCTTGCATCCTTACGATTCATATTTGATTGCTTATTGTACCCTATGACTATTAAGTGTTGTACCTGATGATTCCTGACTCTTGATGAATGTCTCTTTTCTTTAATGGACACTGAGAGCATTTGCCCCAAGACAAATTCCTTGTGTGTACAATCACACTTGGCCAATAAAAAATTCTGTTCTGTTCTATTCTACTCTACTCTACTCTATTCTTATTGTACCCTATGGCTATTATTAAGTGTTGTACCTTATGATTCTTGATTCTTAACAAATGTATCTTTTCTTTATGTATACTGAGAGTATTTACACCAAGACAAATTCCTTGTGTGTCCAATCACACTTGGCCAATAAAGAATTCTGTTCTGTTCTGTTCTATTCTACTCTACTCTACCCTACCCTACTCTATCCTGCTCTATTCTTATTGTACCCTACGGCTATTATTAAGTGTTATACCTTATGATTCTAGACCCTTGACGAATGTATCTTTGCTTTTATGTAAACCGAGAGCATTTGCACCAAAGACAAATTTCTTGTGTGTCCAATCACACTTGGCCAATAAAAGAAGTCTATTTTATTCTCAAGGAGAGAAGCAACCTAGAACTAAGGAGAAATGTCCTGACTATGAGAACAATTGATCAGAGGGATGCGTTGCCTTCAGAAGTTGTGGGCGCTTCAACACTGGAGGTTTTTAAGAAGAGATTGGACAGCTGTTTGTCTAAAATGGGGTAGGGTTGGAGGTTGGATTACAAGACCTCCAAAGTCCCTTCCAACTCTGTCCTTGTCATTCTGTTAATTCTCTTCTTCTATCAGATGCCTCTTATCTCCACCAAGAGTCGCTAAAGGCCCTCAGTCCTGAGCAACTCTCAAGCAACCACGAGGCACACTCACAGCGGGTCTCCCATGAGGCTCTTAAGAAACCCACAGCTTCTTGCTCAAACTTGCTACAAACCTTGGCAGCCACCTGAGGGACCATCAACTCACCGTACATCTGCCGAGGCAATAAGAAGCCAGCGCTCGCCAAAGGCAGCTCCACACTCGGTTGTCCTGCGGGCGGAAAGACCCCGGTTCCATCCACGGGCATCGAAGGGCTGCCGCTGCCCTTACTTCTCCAGAGCTCTTCCTTGTTCGAGGTGGAGGCCTTCTGCAGTGGAACCACCAGTCTGGACAATGCCTCCTGCCCGCCCGCGACGGGCTTGGTTTTCAAGAACCCGAATGGACCTCCGGGCTGAGTAGAAGGGACCTCTTCTTCTGCACCTGCCTCTTTTTTCTCCTCCTCCTCCTCCTCCTCTTCCTCCTCCCTCTTCCCGACACCAGGATCTCCCGGATGGGGCTGTTGCTGCCTGTTGACCAAGCTGTCCTTTTTGCTGTTTCGCAGGCCCTCGAAGCTCCTGAGGTCCGGTTGGAGGAATTGCAAGGATCCCGCCGGCGGAGCCGTGGCTGGTTTCATCCCATTCTTGACTGGGGCTTCTCTGGCGAGCGCCCGTTTTGGAGACGCCTCCAACTCGGGGTCCAAATCATCCTGTAAGAGGTTCTCCTCCAGCTGCAGCTTCTGGGCGATGTGGTTCAGGTAGGAACGGAAGCGTCCGCTGTGGTGCTTCTGCACGAGGCGGGCGTAAGCGTTCTTGTGCAGCTTGCTAGGCGCTTCTCTCCCAGCGTGGCTCGCCGGGCTGTGGACGCACCCATGTGACTCCATATTCCCCAAACGTTACTGGCTGAAAAGGAGCAAATATAAAGGTACACCAGAGACAGTAGAGGTGGTCCTTGACATAGCACCACAACTGAGCCCAAAATGTATGTTGCTAAAGTGAACCGTTTGCCCCAGCGGAACAACCAGTTCTCTTTCCCCTAATGATTTTTTCCAACAACCAGTTCACCAAACGGCTCAGGAGGTTTAGCAACCGGTTCTCCTGAACTGGTACGAACCGGCTGAGTCCCACTGTCAGCTTTATAAGCCATATTGACACCAGACACTTCCACACTGCCACATTCTTGAGCCTGGGAAAAATGGGAGCGGGGAGGAATTTCTTAGAGTGTATGTGGTTGGACATAGTAACATTCTTTTTCTAATTCAAGGTCATGTTATATCTGCACCTGGGTGAGGGCATATCTCGAGTTGGGACAGATGGTGATTGGTGCATGTGATGCGATGATGGGTGAAGGAGGTGGATTTGTAGTTTTTTTTACTTATTGCAAGGAAACCCGGAACTTTCAGATTCCGGATCCCCCAGTTGTGCCAGTTTACTATCCAAATAAAACAGAACTTTTGAGAAGATCTCGGAGTCTCTGAGTTATTGGTTAGAGTGGAGATTTTCTGGAATGCTGAATCCCACCACCGATTTGCTGCCTTTTACAACCTTTCTGGCTGTGGTTGTTAAGCAAACCATGGCAGCTGTGAATTTAGTCACCCAGTTTGTCCTGGCTCGTCAGGAGGTCATAAAAGTGAGTCACATTTGCCACCCTCATAAATACATGCCACCCGCCTGAATTTTGATCACCTGGCCCTGGGGGTGGGGGAATGCTACAACGGTCATTAAGTGTGACAAACATTTGTGTCCCTTTTCTCCCTGCGGTGGCGATGCTGCAACCGTCGTAAATACGAACTCAGTTGCCAAGCCTCTGAATTGTGATCATGTGTCTACAGGGGTAAGTGTGAAAAACGGCCTTAAGTCCCTTTTTTCGGCACCGTTGTAACTTTAAACAGTCACTCAATGACCTCTTAAGTCGAGGATGACCTGTATATGAACTGGACTCTATCCTTCAGATAAACAATTACAGGTGGCCCTCAACTTACGACTGCAATTGTGCCCAACATTTCTGTTACTGAGCAAGATTAAGTTGAATTTTTCCCCGTTTTACGACTCTGATGCCCCAGCTGTTAACTGAATAACTGCAGTTATTCACTGCATGGACTTGGCTTGATAAGATAGCAATATCTATATCAATATCACTTAGACTTATATACTGTTTTATAGTGCTTTACAGCCCCCTCTAAGCGTTTTAAGATGATCTCAAAAGAGGATTGATTACATGACCTCTGCAACCGTCATAAACACGAATCAGTTGCCAAGCCTCCAAATTTTGATCCCCTGACCATGGGAATCCTGCAACGGTCTTAAGTGTGAAAAACTGGTCATAAGTCACTTTTTCCAGTGCCTCTGTAACTTCAAACCATCACTAAGTGAACTGCGGTAACTCAAGGACTAGCTGTACTTCCTCGTTTTGCTATGGAATAAAAATACAGTGACGAATGGAGAGGAATAATCGAAAGACTGGGACAGTTTTAAAACGTGTGAAGTAAAGAACATCAGGCTGGAAAAAAGAATGAGCGGGGATTCTATTCTTAACCACGGAAAAGTATTCATATTAATGAGAAAAGAAGAGGAAAATTGACAACCACTTGCCGAGGGCAGGACAACTCAAGTCCAGACTGTGAGGCTTTCTTCCTTTGTAGGCTTTTATTTTAATGACTAGTGAATATTTTTAGTTTCATCTCTCTATAATGAGAGAGAAGAAGTTTGAGTTTCTCTTTGTTGTTACGTGCTTGAAGTCAGTCTCAGGAATATTATGCTAATGCCATCAGATAACAAACGCCTTATTATCCATACTGTAACAAACAACTGACTTCTGGCCTACATGATTCAAATTGTCATACACACACACACACACACACACACACACACACACACATATATATATATATGGCATTCAGCTTTGTTCGGGTATTTTCCCACGTCATTGTAGTTGTGCTTTTAAAGTTGTAGCAACGTTTCGGCAGAATCTCATCTGCCATCATCAGGCTTCTGTACACAACTACAATGCACAACTACAAAGCACAACTACAATGACGTGGGAAAATACCCGAACAAAGCTGAATGCCATACATGTAAGTACCCGCGAAAACTTAAGAAAACAAATTATATATATATATGGATCTTTGGTTATTCGGGTTTTCTCCCGCGTAAGATTCGAAGTATCTAGGCAACGTTTCGATGAAGTCTCATTCAACCTCAGAAAAAATATATACACACACACATACACATATACATACATACATACATAAAATCAACCTTTGGTCATGTCTGAACAAATGAACTCTTGTAAGTTATTCATGTGTTAGATTGCAGCACGCCTCATTTTTATATTGCACTATAAATGGAGGATCTAGTTGGACAATTCACTTGTAATTACTTTTCTAGTTCCTTGGGAAGTTATTTTCCAACGTCACTGTCAACAAAATGCCTTCTTTTATTTATACTTATTATTTGCTCCCCAAAATACAACCAACCCAGAAGGTAAGTCCTGGCTTGATTTTTACACGTGCCCAAAATATACGCCACCCCCCCCCCCCACCCGTAAGCCCTAATTAGGATCCGCCCACTCCAGAGTGAACGGGTAAAAATTAAACTAGGGTGGGGATGAGAGCTGCCCTACTACTTACCTTTGGACAGGTGTAGCCAGGCCTCGCACACCCCGACACCTGCCTTGCCAGCCCATTTCTTCTGCAGCCGGCAAGGCTTCCCTGAAGGCCTCTGGAACTGATAACAAAGCTCTGGATCGATCCAGAGCTCCGTTATTGGCTGCAGAGGCCTTGAGCAAAGGCTTTCTGGCTGCAGAAGACGTTCCTGAAGTCCTCTGACAGCAAAAAGGCGGCCAGAGGCGACGCGTGCAAGTGAGGTTAGTCAGTGGATGACATCCCCCGAAAATAAGACCTGGTGCCTATTTTGGTGGCAAAAATATATATATATATACGACAGGGTCTTATTTTGGGGGAAACATGGTAACTATCGTACTCTATGGTTACCCTTGCTTGGCAACATACAAGTAGTCCTCAAGTTACGACTACAATTGAGCCCAACATTTCTATGGCTAAGCGATAGAGTTATGTGAGTTTTGCCCTGTTTTACGACCTTAGACAATTGTTAAGTGAATCAGTGCGGTTCTTAAGTTAGTCACCCGGTTGTTAAGTGAGTCTGGCTTCCCCATGGGCTTTGCTTGTCAGAAGGTAGCAAAAGGGGATCACGCGACCCCTCCCGGGACCCTGGGACCATCACAAATACAGATAGTCCTCGACTTACGACGACAACTGAGCCCAAAATTTATGTTGCTAAATGGGACATTCGTTCAATGAATTTTGCTCTGTCAGTGTAAAAAATCATCCAAACTCAAAACTTTACATTGAGGGATATTGTAACTTTGAACAGTCACTAAATGAACTGGTGTAAGTCGAGGACTACCTGTATTGTTATGCTTTGTTTTAAAATTACTAAAACAAGAAGATGTTCATCTCTGCTGCTTGCTCATTACAACCCGGCTGCAAACTCTTAGTGGGACATCCTTTTGCTGCCAGGCAGTCCTCGACTTATGACAATGGAGTCCAAAATTTCTGCTGCTAAGCAAGGCAGTTTGTAAGTGAGTTGTGCCTCATTTTGCAACCTTTTTGCCACAGTTGTTCAGCAAATCACTGCAGCTGTTAAAGGAATCGTGGGGTCATTAAGCAAATCCACTTTGCCCCATTGTCGTAAAACAGATGGGAGGGGTTCAAAAATGACCCCGAAAGTGTGCACCGGTCGTAAATAGAAGTCAGTCGCCAAACGCCTTAAGTTTTGACCGCACGACTCTTGGGGATGCTGTGATGGTCATAAGTCCCTTTTTTCCATGCTGTTAAAACTTCAAACAGTCACTAAACGAAAAATGTCAGGGTTCCAACGGACGCCCAAATTAATTCATGAGCATTAATTCATTAAAACGAGTGGACAGAAAGGTTGTAAGTCGAGGAGGATCTGTACCTGCGGTTCAAGTCACCAAAAGAGGAGAGGAAAAAAAAAATCACAACAGGCACACCAGCCAAAACTGAGTGGTGGATTTGTGCATATAATTTGGGTTTATTTCTATGTTTTTTTTAATTTGTTTTATTTTATTTATGTAACATATAAAAAATCCATTTCATTTAAACAGTGTGTTGTCTGGGTGGCAATTCTTTTTGGAAATC